TCCAGGACTTACAAGTAATTTTTGTTTGAAGGGGGGGGGGGGGAAACACTGGTCCCCATTACTGCCTTCAGCTCTTGAAAAGCTCTTTCTGCCTCTTAATTCCATTTCACCAGAATTATTTCCTATGCACCATAGTGTACAATAGTGTGTTAATAATGTGGTGCGCTGCAAACTTTGTGCGTTGAAGCTAGATTTCCTTAGTGCATCGGGGTGTCACTGAAAATTAATGGCAGTGCAACATGATATCTTACATCTTAGGTCCAGTAGGTGGAACTTCTTAGCCAAGTAGAGCCCTCGCAAAAGGGTCATGGGGGAGGGGAATGGAGAGACAGAAGAAGTCCTAAATGTCTCTCTGGCATCCCGCAGATTAGCCCCGATAGTAGGGTGAGAAGCCAAGGATATACGGAGGGGAGCAGTAATCCACGGCAGGCACATGATGGGCACTTTGTGTTCCTCTAATTCCATTGTTTGCAGTCTCGACTACTCGTCCAGTCCACCACTCTAGCGAGGTGGACTGCCGGGTAGTACTGGGAGATGTCAGGGAGACCGACCCCTCCGTGCCGTTTAGGCATCGAGAGGACACGGTGACTTATTCTGGGGGGACGACCAGACCAGACAAATGTGGTTAACAGACGTCGGATTCTGAGGAAAAACACAAATGGTAGACGGATAGACAGGGCTTGCATAAGAAATAGCAATTTCGGGAGAATGGTCATCTTGACCGAGTTACATCTGACGAACCAAGTCAGGTACAGACCATGCCAGCGGGTCAGCTCCTGGCTAATGTGAAGAAGTAGAGGGGCATAGTTAGAGTTTTATAGATGAGTGTGGTCCAGCATAAGCATTGTCCCAAGGTATTTAACGTGGGTCGTGGCCCAGTGGAACTGCAAATGGGTCCTGAGCAAGGAAACTGTCGTCGCTGGCAGAGTAATGGCTAGTGCAGCAGATTTAGAAAGGTTGACCTTAAAATTGGAGAATAGACCATATTGGTCAAAGACGTGAAGAAGATGTGGAAGGATCAAAGGATCAGGGAAGAAGAAGAGGAGGTCGTCTGCGAAGGCAGCCACTTTGTGTTCCCTCGGACAGAACACAGAAGGGGTTCCAGGGTGAGGATGAAAATTATGTGGATAGAGGGCAGCCCTGTCTAGTACCATTAGTCAGTGGGAAATAACTAAAGTGAGCTTCATTGACATTCACAGCAGCAGTAGGACGTGAGTATAGGGCGGCTATCCAACAGTGCAAGTTGGGGCCCAGGCCTAGCCACGCCCCCGAAAGGGATTACACTTGCCATTCACTGACACATTTAACTTATAGTCGAATAGATAATTTTTTGTCTCCCACTGTTTAATAAGTAGGCAAATACAAGCAAATATAGGAGCCCAGATCTGGTCGGACCATGCCCCAATATTTTTCACAATCACACCCCCGAATACATGAAAACCGCAAGCTATGTGGAGACTAAATGAAACCTTAATACAAGATGTTGTTATAAAAACTTTATAATAGATCATCAACATGACACCACTATACTCCCAATAAAATGGGAGGCTTTGAAGGGAGTCATTTGATGGGTGTTGGTGTCCCATGGGGCGCATGTCAAGAGGGAGAAAGATAAAATAATTAGAGCTCTGTTGGAGGAGATACATCTATTAGAATGTAGACATAAAAGTAAAGCTGATATAGATGTTTTTCAAAAATTATTACAAAAGAGAGTAGAATTACATGAAAGATTAGATCTAAGGTATCAACGTCACAAAGAATGCGTAAAACATACAATGTATGAATTTGGAGATAAGAGCAGTAGGCAACTAGCACGCTCGATCAGAGATAGACAGGGTCGTACGTATATACCAAAAATACGCTGCCCTGTACAGGGCATGCTACATTCCTCAGACCAGATAGCAGAGGTCTTCCATAGGTACTATAAGAGCTTCTATAATTTAAGGGTGAATAGATCGATACGGGACAAGAGGGTAGAACAAGAGGGGATACTAAACTATGTAAACCTGATGGCCCTACCTCAGTTAGATAGGCAAACGATAGAATCACTGAATATACCATTCTCATTGGAGGAGATAACAGGGGCAATACACTCAATGCCGTTGGGGAAGAGCCCTGGTGCAGATGGATTGACAGGAGCATTCTACAGACAGTTCATAGAGGAATTGGCCCCAATCATGCATAGAATGTTTAATGAAATTGAGGATGATTGTATATTTTCCCAACAAAGTCAGAAGGCCTATATTACATTAATACATAAGGACCAGAAAGATCCTACACAGTGTGCCAGTTATAGACCTGATCTCCAATAATCGCTGCTGTGTTAAACATTTGGGATATAATGGTTAGAAAGTATGAGATATCTACATATGTGGGTCCACTAATGCCCATTATGGGAAATCCAGATCTCCCGCAGGGAATGGAGAGTAGAAGGTTTCTGAAGTGGGAGAGGATGAAGCACTCTCCAATGATACAGGCCATTATTGCAGCAGGATTATGTCCCCTATTAGAATTACTTCCAGCTAATACACCCAGTAAGGGCAGATGGTTAGAATATTTACAACTTAAATATTTATATTCAGACCTCTGCGTGCCAGGCATTGTACTCAGAGACCTGACTCCATTTGAGGATATATGTCTGAATAAGGCGGGGCGTAAACACATGGTTTCCAGATTATATAATATCTTAGTGACCAAGATGTTCCCAACATCCCTGTATTACATTAAGGACTGGGAACGTGAACTAGGATTCTAAGCGGCAGAAGAGGATTGGAATAAAGTGTACTATCTAACTTTTAAAGCAAGTATGGCAGTTAAAGTGACATTAAAGTAAAAAAAAGTTTCCCTCCCCCCAATGTTAATGTTAGCACTTACCTTAAATGAGGTTTCTTAATCAGATCTTCCTCTTCTTTCCTGGTGTTTTCATCTGTCCCTCCAGTGGTGCAGCGGCTCTCCAATCCAGCACTGACTCCTCTCTGCTTGCAGGCACTTCCGATCCAGCGGTGTGCACACGTCTAGACTTACCTTGCGTCTCTGCTCGTCTCCCGGCCGAAAATCTGAACTGCACATGCCCCCGCCCTAAGATGCTTTGTGGCCGCCCGAGCAGTTTGGGATTCTCGGGCGGGAGCGCGCGACGAAAACAGGGTAAGTGTAAAACGCTGTTAAAGCGTTTTTTTTTTTACTTTTTGCCTATATCTACTGCTTGCTAGCAGTAGATATAGGCAAAAAAACAAACCGGAGGGTTTAGAACCCCTTTAAAACACAGGAGAGACACTTTCAATTATTAACTAGATGGTACAGATGCCCAACAATAATACATAGGATAAATCCTCAATTTACAAAGTTGTGTTGGAGATATGGCAGGGAAGAGGAAACAATGGTACATACAGTATACGGTGGTCATGTCAACAACTAAGTCAATACTGGAGATCAATCGTTAATTTAGGGTGTCAATTGACAGGGCTGAGGTGGCGTTATTGTCAATGCATCAGGGTAAGGTAACAAAATTTAAAAAAGGACTGCTGTCAGGGGTGTAATTAGAAATCACAGGGCCCCATAGCAAAATTTTGTATAGGGCCCCGTGATTGCTAGTTATGCCACCTGCAGAGCCCCAGCGGAGAGTGACCCTGCAGAGTCCACCATAGACTCTCTATAGTGGGCTCTGCAGGGTCTGAGATCTCTTACCTGTCAGCGCCTCTGTGGTCGCCGGGCCCCGACTCCTCTGCTATCGACGGGCCCCGCCTTCTCTTACATCACTGGCCCCACCTGCTCTTAGGTCCCATCACTGGCCCCACCTGCTCTGCTCTTAGGGCCCCGCCTCCTCCATTCCGAACACTCATCTGCCGCAGCGGCTGGCTGTCACTGACACAGCTCCGCAGCGACTATGAGGGGAAATGCGCACTGGCCGCTGCTGAGCTGTGTCTGTCCCCCCTGTGCCTGGGCCCCATAGCGGCCGCCTGGGTCGCTATGGCGATTGTTACGCCACTGACTGCTGTGCCATATATTGGCAGCAGCAAGGGCAATAATCCTGCGGTATTGGAGGACATCAGATATACTCCAGGTGTGGGAGTAGGTACTGGAATTGAATAATACCATGCATATGGAGGAACCCAAAGGCCGCCTGAATGATAGATATATGGGGTTCATAGAAAAGTGGGGACCTTGGAGGGAATATATTAACTCAGCAGAAGTCCGGAAATACCTTTTAGAGACTATAAAATAAGATGTAAAATCGAAAGTCTAGTTCCACATTGATAAGAAAAATTCCGTGGTTCC